ACCCCTCACGACCAACGGTGGTGCTACAGCAGGTCTTAGCTCTGGGCGCTCGTACAACCGCACTGGTCACGGTGCTGACTTCAGCGACTCACCACCTTCCTCGTTCCAGCGCCGCTCTGGCTCCGATGCCGCAAACCGGCCTCCACCCCCGACCCACACCGACGACGGCGAGGAACTGCAGACCCAGAACATCAGCATTCCTTCTGACATGGTGGGTTGCATCATCGGTCGCGGTGGCAGCAAGATCAGCGAGATTCGCAAGACTTCTGGCGCACGCATCTCCATCGCCAAGGCCCCGCACGATGATACCGGCGAGCGAATGTTCACAATCACTGGTAGCGCCAGCGCGAACGAAAAGGCGCTTTATCTTCTTTACGAGAACCTGGAGGCCGAGAAGATGCGACGTAGCGCGGCTCAAGACTAGAGGTTTTGACATACACCACCTGTGTAGAGCGACGATTTGCCGAGGCTCTTCTCGTGGCGATCATTGCTGAAGCGTACACCACGCGAAGAGCACAATTTTGCTTGCCCCTTTCCTGTTATTTGCTGACGGATACCACGGATGTTCGGGTCATTATTCCCTTTCTCTTTCCAGGACTGTTATTGTCGACGAGTGCCCGTTAAGCACTTCACGATGTGATGACTTATGGCTTTGATATCCGGATAGCAAATCTGCCCGCGAGTCGAGGCAGAGAATGGCGCCCTGTTTTGCTTTCCATGGGTTTGGCGAAGAGTGACAATAGCGATGAGGCACGAAGAGGTCATTCGATTTCCCAAAAGTTTCCTCTTGGTCGAGACGACGTCCGCTGCATCTGGTTGCAACTCGTCAAACCCGGTCACACTCTACCATCCGTCCTACCCACCCTCCTTACCTACCGATAATCGCGAATACAATACCAATAGCATCTACCTCTCCAGTCTATCTACTTACCTGTAGCCGCCACAGGCGCCACGGTTCACTTTGTTGGTCACATATCTTGAACAACATACATAGTGTAGAATAGCAATGGAGTAAGCATCTGATCACCAATCTCTGACGGAAGCAATGTTATTGTATCATGTATTGTATAACGAGCTTTATATATAACTGCCGTTGTATGTGTTCCTAATGATGTCCGCCTCTCTTTACCCAATGGCGGCCGTCGCAAGCTCGCTTATGCAGTCGTGTCGTAAATCATAATAGCCTCGCCCAGAAAAGCCGGCGGATCCCAAAGGAGTAACGCCGATGCAATGCAAAACACCTGCCCAATGCAAAATCAAGACCCTTGCTGCGACTGAACAACTCATCCTGGTGTCAAGTCCAAGACCATCGTCTTCAGGCCTCACCCCGTGTGATTCTGCCAACAGCGCTCTTGACAAGCACCCACATAGGCCCCGCATTGACCTCTCTCTTAGCACTCCCCTTCCCCGGCGACTCCTCACCGCCAAGCCCGCACTTCCTCTTCCAGTCGTCTTTCCAAGCGCGTTCAACGCTCGCCTGCTTCTCCTTGAGCAGCTGTCCTGCACTGCGCTTTCCCTGCCGCCTGTACCCGCGCATGAAAGCAGTCCACTCCTTCCTCTCTTTGACGAAGATGACAACTCCGTTCCCGGCATCGATGGGCGCGCTGTCCGCCACGATGCGGGCTTCCCACGCCGAACTCACGGGCTGGAATGTGAATGTGTCGGTGTGCAGGACGTAATATCTCTTACGCTTCCCGAACTTGCTGGCGGTCTGCGAGGCGGGCGTTATCCACCGCGAAGCCGAGGACCAGATGCCGTCGGCGACGGCTTCGTGCAAGAGTGGCCGCGGGATGTAGTTCCGGCATGTGAGGATGAGCTTGTTGCGGAGCAGCGTCATGTTGATGTCCGGGTGCGCGGGCACGATGTTAGGACTGTAGGCCAAGAGGGGCTTGGAAGCGCGCGTGGACCGCGTGCTGGGCTTCTGGACTGGTGTTGTGCTATGCCCGCGCAGTACGGTTGTGAATGTGTGAGGGGCAGACATGGTCTGGGTTTGGACGGATGCCATGGTGTGTGTGTCTTGTCGTATACTCGTTGTGAAGTTGTGTTGTGTATAGCGGCTTGCTTGATCTTGAAAGATTTGGTGGGCAGCAAGAGTAAAACGTGAACTGAGGGAATCTGCAAAACTAGGGACGCAAAGAAAGTGGGTTATGCTGCAGTTCTTAAGAGTGGCTATCAAACCAGCTGGAAAAGTACTAGCCCGGCAGAAACATGCAAGTCACAGCTTCGGAAATCTGTCGGGGCGTGCATGTACCAAGCTCGTCTAGAGATGCACATGCTGCAAAGTACCGCTCACTACCGCTGTACCCTGGCGGCGGTCAACGGGTCAATCATGTGGCAAGCGTTTGGGGACTGGAAGGACACGCGAGAATCGCCGAACCCCCCCGATTACCACAACCAAGCCCAAGACCTCATCTCACCGCATGGGGAGGGCTGCCTCACTCTGGGGACGTGCTGATCCAAGGGGGGAACAATCTCCTCTAATATCGCGGTCGTCACTACAACTCACTCAAATACAAACAGTTGATCCAAGTGTACAGGCAAGCTCTGTTGCAGCAAAGATCATCAAACAAAAGTGGTTGGCAGGGCTCGTTCCTCTCGAAAAGACACTAGCATCACCGCCTGTCACCCTTCTCCCGTGGGTACCCACTTGGAGAGGAAAAGCTGGGGGAAAAGCTAGACGTCAAGACGCGCGAAAAAAAAGCCCGTTCGTTCAGGGCTTGGGTGGAGTGGGGCTTCGTCATCAAATTAAAGACCTCCGAACAGAACAGGGCTGTTCGGTATGCTGCGAGCTGCTCGCTGTGCAATTCTTCGCACTTCAGTGCTAGGAGTTTGAGACTGTGAGACACGTCACGCTTGGTTAGTTAGTCAGGTCAGAGAGGGATGCGCAGGGAAGGCGCCGCGGCGCTACCTTCACGCGTCCCGCTTTGCAGTGCAGAGAACGAGCAATGACGATGCAGAAGTCAGCTGGTTGCAATCAGCAGCTCTATCGGTGTGGGCTGTGATGAGAGCGGTGGCTAGACGTCTCACGATGCCTGTGAGCTTCACGGCGTCTGTATGTTGTGCTTCATCCCCTCGCCGCGTACCTTGCTCTTCGCTTGAGGTGGGGTGAGGCTCGACCAGCCTTAAGACGGCTGCGGCTGCTGGCGCAGGTGCTCGTTCCGATTCGCGTTCCGAGTTTCCGATCGTAATTTTAGGACCGCGTGCACTAGCTCCCGAGCTTGATGCCACCTTTGCATTGGATCTTGGAACGTCATTAATCTACTGAGGAAAGGGCCACTTGTCACTCCTTGCATCCTGTGTTTATTTAGAGGTAGTAAGAGTCTTGCGCATATAGAAGCGCACCACACTCCTTACGTTGACGACTTCTCCCCAACACCGCGCCTTGCTTCCAGTACATTAAACATTGAAATCGCATCGATCTACCAGCGATAAGGACCGAGCTCAACATGGCCGCATCCACGAAGCGCACAGCTTCTGAGGCGAAGAAGCAGGCCAATGGACACGCACGCCGGTTGTCTGATGTGGTGCACTCTGTTGAAAAGAAGATTGGGGAACAGGTCGACTTGGCTGCGCGGAACCCTGCTGAGGAGAAGAAAGGAGGATACATGTTGCTGATCATTTGCGTTGGAGGGATCTATGCCAGCTTGTGAGTTGCCGCGCTGTGCATTGCCAGTAGGAGCGAGAGCTAACGTATGGACAGCTTGAGCTGGGCGTACCTCCAGGAACGTCTCACAACTACTACCCACGGTCCTTCGAACGCACGCTTCACGTACCCCGTCTTCCTCAACACCGTCCAGTCCGCATTTGCTGCCATCACAGGTCTTATCTACTTGTTCTTCTCCGCTCCGCGTAACCAAACTACTGGCGCGCGCCGCGTACCGCCTGTCTTCCCTTCAAAGCAGATCTTGTTTCCGTTACTCCTTGTCGCAGTAACCTCGTCGCTCGCCTCGCCGTTCGGATACGCCAGTCTCAAGCATATCGACTATGTCACGTTCACTCTGGCCAAGAGCTGCAAGCTTCTCCCGGTTATGGCTCTGCACATCACCCTCTTCCAGAAGCGCTACCCACTCTACAAGTACGCAGTCATTGTCTGCGTCACCCTCGGCGTATCCATGTTCACACTCTACAACCCCTCCACAGCCAAGAAAGCTGCAAAGAAGAGCGTCAGCGCAGACGCATCCAAGACGCTCGGTCTCTTTCTCCTTGGCGTCAACCTGCTCTTCGATGGTCTCACAAACACGGTGCAAGACAACATCTTCACCAAGTTCAAGGGCTTCAGCGGCCCCCAGATGATGTGCGCGATGAACATCATGGCCACCGCGCTCACCACCAGCTATTTGATCATCTCGCCCTACCTCGCCGGTACGCCTCTCGGCTCCTACATTGGCCTCTCGCCCACAGGCAACGGCGAACTCAGCGACGCGCTGGCCTTCGTCACCGCGAATCCTACTGTGGGCTGGGACGTGCTCGGCTTTGCGGCGTGCGGTGCCGTTGGCCAGATCTTCATCTACACCACGCTCGCGCACTTCAGCTCGCTTCTCCTCGTGACGGTGACAGTCACCAGGAAGATGCTGACGATGCTGACGAGTGTGTTCTTGTTCGGACACACGGTCACGGGCATGCAGTGGGTCGGTGTGGGGCTGGTGTTTGGCGGCATTGGTGCCGAGGCTGCGTATGGGCAGATTGAGAAGAAGAGGAAGGCGAAGGCTAAGGCGTTAGCTGAAGGGAAAAAGCAGTAAACGTTTTCCTTATATAAGGTTTGTGGACAGTTATAAAGAAAGGCAGTATAGAAGCATGAAAATATATTGATTGTACGCTCATGGTCTATATGAGCTGGACCATCCTGCATTCCTTCTACCTACCATCAGCGATCAAACAAAATCGCCTGTTGCAGGGAAAGCCAACCCCACACGCCGCCCAACTCCACAAAGACGCAGAAAAAAAACGAAAGAGAAAAAAAAGAATTCGCGTGATCCCAATTACTTGGGCACGGAAGCTAGTGTCGCTTCTGTGGATCGAACACAGTACCTCCAGATTTTCAATGACTGAGCAAACTTCAGTCTGGCGCTCTCCCAAGTGAGCTAAAGCGACTGGAAAAGACAAATTGCCTGATTGGGTGATTGTTGATGACTGATGGAATTTTAATTATTGTATAGTTGTTGGAGTTGCGTTGGCTGGGCAGAGAGGTTGAGAGGAGGCTCGTTGTGCGGTCCGTCCATTGTGGATCCGAGTTCAAATTTTATCCCATCAAATGGCATTGCCCTATCCCGCTAACGCTGCTTCGGCAGGCTGTGTCTATGAGACGGCATTGCTAGATTGCAAACAAATGATCCACAGAAGCGTTCGGCCCTTCCAGTCACTCACTCGTGCCGTGAAATGATACTTTTCTGCATTTGTCGAACGGAGAGGCATCATTCGACCACGTGCACGAGTCCCAGATAGTCATTGCGCCGTAGAACATCAATAGGGGTATTGCAGTATCACGCAACCAAGGAGCACAGACAATGAAGTGATATGAACTGCCCATGGCGGGGCTTGTAGCATTTAAAAGTATATACAGATAACAAGATACAGAGAAAGAAGCTGTCGGCCCAAGCCATCAGAAGAGGTTTGCTTCCATCGCCCGGCTGAAGAAAAGTGCGAGCAGATAGGCGTACTCGAGATGCTGCTTAGCAAGAAGCGCCCGAGCCGCTGGGAATGCCGGAGCACTTGGTGCTCTTGGTGCCGCCGGTGATGCCGTTGCCGGACCACTTCCAGTTGGAGCAGGAGCCCTTGCCGCAGAGGATGTAGGTCTCGACGGCCTTGCTGGCGACGGAGCCCTTGACGCCGGAGATGGTGAGATCGGTGATGGGGACGCCAGTGGTGGGCGAGCCGGTGGGCGAGCCGTTCTCGTAGTCCTGCTCGATCACGATGCCGTACTTGGCGATGTTGGACAGCGTGATGTCCTTGTAGGTGACGTTGGAGACGGAGCCGGTCGCGCCGTAGACGGTCTTGATACGAACGCCGTTGTCGGAGTTGGAGATCTTCGAGTTCTCGATGACAACGCCCTTGACGGTGTTGTCTGAACGGCCGCCAACGGAGCCGATGGACAGGCCGTGACCGCCGGAGCAGGTACCGCCAACGAAGTGGATGTTGGTGCCAGAGTTGATGGCGAGGCAGTCGTCCTGGTTCTTGATGTTGGCGTTGGAGATGGTGATGCCGCTGGAGCTGCCGACGTCGAAAGCGTCAGTGTTGTGGCCTCCGTTGGTCACGTCACCGGCGCTGTTGTCGATGGTGATGTGGTCGAGGGTGAGACCAGTGGCACCGTTGATCGAGAAACCCTGAACCGGGGTGTTCTTAACGTTCAGGTTGTTGATGGAAGACGAGGTCATGGAGTGGGCGTAGAAGAACTTGGGCTTCTTCTTGCCACCGTTGGAGCCCTTGCCGTCCCACCACTTAGCACCGTTACCGTCGATAACGTGGCCAGAAGCACCGTTGACGGTGATCTTGTTACCAGAGACAGAGATAAGAGGACCCGCCCACTCCTTATAGCCGAAGCTGGTGGTACCCTGGAAAGTGACGGTGGTTCCATCCTTGAGCTTGGTAAGATCAAGAGTGGTGCCGGCAGGGACCTGAATGTTGTTCAGGACGATGTTTGTGCAAGAGGTCTTGCCCTTGATGGCAGACGCAGCATCCGTGAACGTGCAGCTGGCGCGGGCATCCAGGCCTGTAGGAACAGCAGACACAAGAGCGCCGGCGCTGAGGAGAAGAGAGGCTTTAATGGCAACCATTTTGTTTATGGTGGATTGAATGAGTGACTATAGAAGAGAAAGTATAAACGAGGATGTTATCAACGAATGACTGGTTGAATACTACTAGGAGGCGTTAACCAGAGGTTCTTATAGCAGCCCTCATCGCATGTACCGACTTATCCGGAGAGATTGTAGATGTATGGAGTCAAGCGGGTACACGGAGCTTGTCGCTCTTGGCTAAGCTTGTTCTCACCGCAAATTAAGTGCCGTTGGGGAAATGAATTGCCCATGCGGGTGGCGTCGACATTGACAGCGATGGCGTGTAAGGCTGCAGAGCTAAGCTGATGCCTTCGGAATATTGATATGTGGATCTTGTGGACGTTCAAGTGGCTTCGTTGAAAAAAGAATCGCTCTGTAACATTGCTACCGCGACTTTTAGACAACAATCACAAGCTCAAGGAAAGACTAACGCCACGCAGCCACATCTGCAGGCATGTTTGACATCGAGGATAAGCTTTTCTTACGGAAGATCGCGTGCCGTTTGCTCTCGAACAGGCAACGTGACCCCTGTCAGGTCAATTTGCAGAAGTCATGGTGAAACGAAACGCTTGCTTGACTCCGTGGGTCCAGACACAAGTTAAGACACAAGTCATGCGGAGTCGTTCCCAAACACCTCGTCTCGACGCGTGAAGAGCAGTGCAAGGCACGCCCCCGCGGAAAGCAGCTCTCTGATTGATGGAACGTCTGCGAATAGGCCGTGCTGAGATGAAGGGGAGCAGATGTCACGGAGGCCAGTGCCGGGAGCGAGAGCGAGACCGGTGGTGCTAGGCTGGGATAGGGAAGGCGTTCACCGTTGCTAGCACGGAAGCCACACTCCATACCAGATACTGATGCCACGCAACATCGTCCACTTCTCGAGGTCTCCATCCACCGCGCTTTGGTGTCTAATTTGGCACCCAACCTCAGGCCGTTATCCGAACAATGCATCGTCTCGTAGGCTGGATCTGCGGAAGAATTTCTCCAGTCAAATGAGAGATCACCTCATCCTTCTGTCTGCGAGTTCCTTCGTCCGGAGAATTCGTAATCCTTGTTTTATGCTTAAGTCAACCATGCAGAGCTAATTGTGGATGTCTTCTGAGGAGTGAATGGCTCCTTTGGCAGGCGTCCCCAGAAGGTGTCCTTCGTTCCGCCCCTTCACTCCTGGAGTGCTTAAGTCTTGCACTCTAACTCCCACGCGCCGTGATGCAATATGTAAGAGACTTGCAAGAAGGATATGCAAAATATTGACATAGCAGGACAGTCAAAACTACCGCGCCATGCATTACCAGATCTCTTGCACCAGAGCCACCCCAGTCCTCCTTGACCTATGCAACACTGCGCCACACTGACAAGAGAAGCTGGCAGCAATTCCCACAGCGAGAGCACGATCTAGGTGCCGACATAGTTCTCAGTAAAAAGGCGGAAGCAAGCGCTGCTATCACGATGCGCTCGATCGTCAGCCCAGATTGGACTGCACTGGTTCTCGTGACTTTATCAAGAGCTGCTCGCGCATCAGCAACTTGCGTCACATCGGCATATGAAGATGGCCCGTTCAGAACCATTCATATGCCACCGTACTGTGCTGACGCACGTTTTTGGATCCTTGCCATCCGGTCGAAAATCTACTGTCCTGCGTCACTCTAAGATACACGTATTCTTCAGGTTCGGTTGAATACTTGCAAAGGGTAGGCGTGGAGACGTAAGTCTATGTAGAGGAGCCAATGACATGTCACATTGTCTCGTCTGGATAAAGGAAATCAAGCGGCAATCATTTGCCCTCAAAGACATCGCTAGCACGAACCTCCCGGTGATTGTGTAGCCAACTGTAAACTTCTGTCTGACGGTCATCTGTTAAGACGAGTGACGTATACTCAGAACACCTCCACTAGATGAACATATAACGTCGAGAGCATAAAGGAGTCGTAGCCATGCGCCAGGTCTTGCTTCAAGAACCAGTCACTGCTCGGCCTTCATTGATCATGAATATGCTCTCACTGGGAATCCGCAGAGACACGGCTCATTTCATGTCGAGAAGATGTTGTGTGAAATGTTCAATTGCAACGTCTGCTTACTTGTATCTTCAATACGCTCTATAGGAGTGTCAAAAGAATCCTGGTTAGATTGTGCTTCTTGGTGCAATTAAATGTGACCTGGCGACCTCTTTGAGCTCTATTGTCCAGCTAATACAGGAGATTGGTCGCAATTGAGCCGAGCTTAATTTTCTCTAATGATCATGATGCCCGCTGAGATGAAGGTACCCTATGTTTGGACCAAAAATATGAGGTCCCTGGGCATGGTAGGTAAGAAAGCTGTCAGGAACAGTCGCTTTTACCTTGACAACTGCGACGGTTTCTATTTGCTATATTCATCTTCGTTGGGCTTTGGGAGACAATAGACGTTGCATGGCTATAAACCCTGGCACGTAAATTACAGCGCTTCTGTATGAGCCCAGCTTATATGACTCGCAGAAGATTTTATTTGCAACACTCTGGCACTGCAAATGGGAGAAAGCCAGTCAATAGGTCAGACGAGAACACTGAGATGAATGTCCGATACTTCGGCGCTCTCTTTTCTGCGAGAAGAATGTACAGCTGGATATTGTCCCTGGTGAAAATGCAGCTGGCCCGTATGTCATCGTATCTTCTCTTGCCATGCTCATACTAAATTCAAACAGAACCAGATATGATGCGTTAAGGCGTGCGAGGGTTCAGAATCGCTCGCTACAAAATCGATGACGTACCCCGCACTACCGTATCTGTACAAATGCCGGACCCACTCTTGAGGATACCGACAATGCGATCCTGCTTCAACGTAGCCATGCATACTGTTGCTATAAGAGCTACCAATCATTTCAGAATAATCTCAGGGAAACAACAGCTCAATTGGTGCGCAAGAAGACTCGTAACAATGACACCACCAGTACGGCCACGCAGGTTTGCGCCGCTCAACCCTGCGAAGAAAAGAGACGGGGACACCCGTCCCGTTCTCAAGGGGATCGTCTTCGATGTCGATGGGACCCTCTGTCTGCCCCAGACTTATATGTTTGGTGAGATGCGGTACGTACGCGCTGGGTACAGTTTCTGCTGCCACTAACACGAATCTCAGCTCGGCCCTTGGCATTGACAAGGGCACAGATATCCTGGATCACATCTACTCCCTGCCAGATGCTGCACAAGAAGAAGCCCAGGAGAAGGTTCGAGAGATTGAGCGCAATGCCATGAAGAAACAGAAGCCGCAAGCTGGGCTGGTACAGTTGATGGACTATCTGGATTCCCGAGGCCTGAAGAAGGGCATCTGCACACGGAACTTCGATGCGCCTGT